GAGTTAAAGTTTCAGTCAAAGGATGAGTCACATGAGAGTGCTCTTATCAGCCTGTTTTTATGTGGGGTCAAAGGGGAAAGGGATGATGGGCATGGAAATAAGTCAGCAGTCAGTCATCAAACATGGAGTCAGTCTCTTTATCACACTTAGTGATAGACCATTCCATGTAATATTCAGTACCTTTCTTACAATACCAAGGCACAAAGTGCTGAAAAAAAATTTTAAGTTAAAATATCATTTAAAGCTTCAGAACATGTGAGAGAAAGACACAGTTATGACACATTTTGTCTCTCAAATACTCAGTGAAATAATCCAAACCATTTAATTCAGAGAAATCCATTAGAATGAAGAGATGGGTTCCTACAATATACCTGTAAGTTCAAAGGATTTCTTCACAAAATTATATAGGTGAAAGTTGAGCAAGGAGGATTTTAGCCACTACATGTTGGGGTCAAGCCCTGAGCTTCATTCATAGGTTTTGTTTTGAAGCAGCATCTGGCTTTAAGGACAGACTGGAGCTTTCTTGAAGGGTTTCTCTTTCTCCGCCTTTTGCTGTGCCATGCTTCATCTCTTTCTACAGCCTGACTAAACGTGTATTTAACGAATGTTCCGGAGGTGACTTGTGTTAGTCTGCCAGGGCTGTCATACCCAAGAACTACAGGCTGGACGGGTTAAACAAACATTAATTTTTTCAGTACTGGGCATAAGGAGTCTGAGATCCAAGCGTCGGCAGGGTTGATTTTTTTGAAGCCTCTCTCTTTGGCCTCATCTTTGTAGCTGTTCCTCTTCTTCCTGTGTTCTCAATGATCTTCCCTCTGTCCTTGCCTGGGCCCAAATTTTCTCTTCTTATAAGGACACCTGTCACATTGGATTAGAGCCCAGCCTAATGACCTGCTGTAACTTACTGACCTCTTTAAAAACCCTCTCTTGAAATACAGTCACATTCTGAGGTACTGTCCGGGTTAGGACTTAACATGAATTTTGGTGCAGGAACAATTCAGCCTGTACCATGACTCATCCTAAATGAATTAAGCTCTTGCCGCTTTAGCTATCTTCCTTTAATCAAATTCTCCTGCCAACCATAGAACCCACTGAATTCTAAACTGCCAGAGTGAAATGGCAACACAATTCCTTCTCCACTAACCAAAAGAATGATTGAATTAACAATTTCAGATAAAGCTTGTTATCTACCAATATTGTTTTTTTAATTATATTTTTTATATTTTTATCATTGCATTTATGTTTAATCCCAAAGTATTTGTTACTGTCCTCTTTTCAAATAAATAAGCAGCTTTGAGATTTTTCAAGCCTGGCTTTTTACTTTAAACTTGAATCCAAAGCAAAATCTGAACTCTCTTATTCTAATAGTTTTCCAACCAAAACTCTTTCTTTTTTAACATTTTTTTATTGGGTTATAGTCATTTCCAACCAAAACTCTTAATTTTTCCTTACTTTGTAGTTTGCAAATTCTGAACATTTTAGGTCTTTTTTTTCCCCCCCACTCTGTGTTCCTTTGTATTATTTTGCTTAGGTTTACCTGTGACTAGTTCAATGTTAGCAGTGGTGGAAGGTGTCATTTGCTTCATCTTGTATCAGGAAAGAATGCTTATAACTATCTTAGCTTCAGTTATGTGATAAACTTGAAAATTATTGTTTTTTTCCTGGATGAATGTATATTGCAGATTATCAAGTATCTTGTCTGAATGCATGTGCTTTATTTTCTTTAATCTGTTAGGTTGGCGGCATTCGGTTCCCTGTGTTCCAAATATTAATCCATTTTTGTTTTACTCTGTTAAATCTTTTTTGAACTTTTGATTAATCCAGATTGCTCAGTTAACATCCTAATGTGTATTTAGAACTTTAACTTCTATATTTTTATAAGATTTGCCTATTTCTTTTATAAATTCGGTAACAAATTTAAACACATTTGAGAAGCTATTGGTCTTTTTCTCTGTATTAAGTATTTGCGCATATGTTGTTTTTTTTCTTGAATATTTTATGGAACATGCTCATGTGACACTCCAAGTGGGTACCTTGTAAAGGTAGATTTTTGATCACCAAATTGATTTTTAGAATGTTTGCTGGTCTGATCATACTTTCTACCATTTTAGGTGGCAATGTTCACAATTTTAAATTTATTAGAAACCATCATTGTGAAATAATTTAAAAATTATCAGTGTAAAATTACATACTCTCCTTATTGTCTACTTCATGCATTTTATATTGTTATTTTTTTTTCTTGGACACAACAAGTGGTTCTCTATTTTTTCATTCCAAAATATGTAACAGTGTCACTGATAAGGATATTTATTATTTCTTCCTGCTTCATTGTGTCTTCTTTAACTATAAAATGTGTTGTCTACTTTAGTTTTTCTTCCTTTCAGTCATTTGTTAGCTTTTTAACAGTTAACTTTTAATAAAACAGTCTTTTCTTAATATTGGATGGTATGTCTTTATAGAGCTTTCTAATATAAAATCATGTTTTCTCCTGAGTGTCAGTTAGTCAACATACCTCAGGATTTAATATGGACTACTTTTATCATGGCTCACCTTAAAATTACTCTAATTTCAATTTTGCTTTGACTGTATTTAGAGTTATTAAGAAGGGTTCTCAGTTATATTCTGACTGAGTATGTTTTATTTCCAAATGTTACTTTTTTATTACTGAATTTAACCTTTTGTAGTCAGTGCACATGGAGCAGCTTTGTTTTTTGGAATTTATTGAGATTTAAATGGCCAAATATGTTATTCTGGGCAGTTTTATAATATGTGTTTGATTTGAGTACATGCTTTATCCTTATTGAGTTATATATAGTTTTATTATATTATACTTGGTAATTTGTGTTTTTGAGTTGTCAAAATTTGATCTTACCATTGTGGATTTATCATTTTTTGCATATCTTATTTAAATAATAATTTGGTCGGATATAGGAATCTAGGTTGAAATAGGTTTTTTTTGTTGTTTGGTTTTTTTTTTTCTTTTCTTTTTTACAGGAGGGTAAGGGGGTGGAGGTAATTAGGTTTGTTTCTTTTTACTTTTAGAGGAAGTACTGGGGATTGAACCCAGGACCTTGTGAGTGCTAGGCATACACTCTACCACTTTAACTATACGCTATCCACCCCAAATATGTTTATTTTTAAATATTCATGTTACTAAGCTGTTTTCTGGCATCCATTGTTATAGATGTCTGATATCACAGAAATTTAACTCATTTGTAGAGACTCTGTAAGTATGTGTGTTTCTCTGAGAGATTCTAATACTTCTTATGGAAATGCAGAAAGTTTACATTATTAGCAATGTTGATTTATTGATTGATTGAATCTTTATTCATTTAGTTTTATTTGCACAGCTAGTCATTAAATAAGCTTTTTTAGTCCAATCATTTCTATTTTTCTTGTTTTATACATTTATTAGCTTCTAATTACTATTTTCCTTCATGTCTTTTAAGAAGATTAATAACAGAAATGCTGATGTTTCAACTTTACTTTTAATTTTTCCAATTTTCTCTTTCTCTTTTTTTCTCTCTCTTTCCTTTGGAGCATAGTTTGAATGAATTTCTCAACTGACTTTGTCCTTAGCTGTATATTTTCTTACAGCACTTCAATTAAAAGTTTTTATTTTACAGATCAAGTTTAAACTTCCAAGATTCAAAACTAATTCTTATTTATGGATACCATGATCTCATGTTTCTTTATTATAGTTCTATTCTGTATTCTCAAAGAAGTCTAATTTCTGTACTCACATCCCATGGTCCTCTCAAGATTTTTACAAACTGCCATGATGATATCATCCTGGTGCTTGGAAGAGTGAGGATTTTCTCATTGAATTCAGATTTGTGAGTCAGTATATCTGGTTGGGGTTTGAATTCTTTTTTTTTTTTTTTAACTCTTTCAGGTGTTTTACATTTAGGAAAGTTTGGAAAACACATTTTTACTCTCTAAGCCATGGTTGGAAACTTTTCTTTTTAAGGAGCCAGATATTGAATATTTTGCTTTGGTGTCTATAATATCTTTATGACAACCATACAACTCTGCCATTGTAGTGAAAAGCAGCCTTTGACCATAAGTAAATGATATTCATGGTTGTATTCCAGCAATAGTTTATTTATTGAAATCTAAGTAGCATCTCTGATATTTGAATATTATATAAACTTCACATTATGAAATATTATTCTTTAAAATTTTTTTCAAAATTTTAGTTTCATTAAACCAGTTTAGTCTGTGGGCCATGTAAAAATAGGTGGCTATTCTAAACCTAACCCTAATCAGGTTTTATTTAGTGATGCAAACATTAGGAATTTGTCTACATGGTTGAAATATTCACAAAGGACTTGATCATTCACAGAGGAGATCTGCTGAATAAACAATGCTCATTTACCCCTCCAAGCTGCTGCCAGGGACAGCAGAGTGCCTACGTGTTGAACGGGGGCTTCAGTCTCTGTGAATATTGAAGAGTTAGGCTACTTCACTGAGAACTTCATGTTGCTCACTGTCCTTAACGATATTCCTTGCTGTCAGCATTCGGTTGAAGATGTTCCACAGCACGATCTCCACCACCAGTTCGTCCCTGAGGTAGATGATGACCCTTTTACCATAATCCTCCCCTTGAGGGCTGTAATTTGCTGACTCCAGCTCTACATCATAGTTCTCAACTCTTCTGTCATATTATAATCAGCTAGTGACCTTCAAAATACATAGATAATATTAACTATTGTATATAAAAATATATAAAAAACAGATTTTTCTGTATAGCACAGGGAACTATACTCAATATCTTATGACCACCTTTAATGAAAAAGGATATGAAAATGAATATATGTATATATATGCATGACTGGGACATTGTGCTGTACACCAGAAACTGACACATTGTAGCTGGCAATACTTCAATTAAAAAAAAAACATAGATACTTGGACTTCCAAGATAATTACATCATTAATTTTGGGGAATTGAGATTCAGATAGTGACATGATTTTTAAATTCTCCAGGGTGTTGAAACAGGGTGTTGACAGAGAAGTGACGTAGATGGTGAGGTTTGGGTTTTTTTTGACATTTTCGAAACATTTACCCTATCATTCCTTTGGAGTCATTGCTTTCTTATTCCTCATCTTTGGCTTTCCTGAATAGAGAACTTCTGCAGCAATGATTTTTTTTTTTGCATGTTTAATTCAAAATTATGTTTTTGATATTTATACACTTGTTACTACATATAGCAGGTATCCATTTACTTTATTTTAATAGCTTTATTGGGGTATAACTGATGTATAAAAAACTGCACACATTTAATGCATCCAATATGATGATTTTGGACATATGCATACCACCATGAAACCATCGGCACGAACAAGGTAAGAGGTATCCATCACCTCCAAAAGTTTCCTTGTGCCTTTTGTGTGTGTGTGTGTGTGTGTGTGTGTGATAAGAACATTTCACATGAGATCTACCCTCAACAATTTTTTAAGCACGCAAAACTACACTGTTAACGTTAGACACTGTGTTGCTCAGCAGATCTCTAGAACTTATTCGTCTTGCACAGATGAAAAATTATAATCGTTGAACAACAATTCCCTATTTTGCTGCCCCGCAGCCTCTGAAGACAACCATTCTATTCTCTGCTTTGAGTTTGATGAATTAGATACCTCACATAAGTGGAATTGGGCAGTATTTGTCCTGTGACTGATCAATTCAAAATGGATTACAGACTTAGAAGTCAGACCTGCAGCAATGTATTTTTGTGAGTTTTATTGTATTATCATATTCTTCCCAGCATATATATATATATAATATATGTAATATATGTATACACAGATTATACATATATATATGTGATTTTAGGGTTTTGGTTTTTTTTTCTCAGTAAATTTTATCCCAATATTTTCTATTTTTGAAGAATTTCTCAAAGTTTTGATTCTGATGATGCCTTCCATTTGGTTTCTCTTTATTGTTTCTGATTTATTGTTTTTCTCATAACACTTTGTCTATCATGCCTTCAAATACAGGGATAGCTATTTTAGACCACATGCAGTTCATTTTCTATGCTCAGTCTTCACTTTTTATCCAGTTTTCACTACTTTTTATAAGTTAAAAGGCAATAGTGAGAAAAAACACTAAATAAAATAATTATGAAAGAAATGTCTGTTTTACTTGTTTATCCAGCCAGGTATCCTTTTTGTTTTATTTTTGCAAATTAGTCCACAAGAATTTCTCTGATAAATAGTGTAGGTATACAACAAAACAGAAAGAAGTAAATATGATGAAATATTTTTAGATACATTAGAATCATAGAAGAATACCATAGATTTTAAAAATACAAAGTCACTTTGAGAACACCAAAATAGTTACTTTCTGAAGTTTGCTTTAGTCTCGTGGTAAATCACTTTTGAAAATGAAGTTTTCTCTGGCATCTTCCCTGTTATTCTCTTGCTGCAAACTATTTTTAAAGAGCATATATGAATGAAGAGATTTTATCCTGGGATTTGGCAATAGAGAGGGAAAGAATTCCCCCTCCTCATCTTCAGTGTACATTTGGTTGCAGTCAGAATTTGTGTCTTAATTAGGCATCACCCTTAGGAAAATCTATTAGGAATTTATCTTGTGAGTCCCTTCAAATGGAGGGGATATTTTCTTTTTATTTCTCTTGCTTTTCCTGGAACTGAAGTTGTGGATAAGAATGCTTTTCTAGGAGGAATGTTCTGTTATATTTACCCCAATAAAATGGGCACATTAAAAACAAAAACAGCACTGAACAACAACAATAATGAAAACAAAAAATAGAAGCATTGCCTCCTTAGATGTTCCTTCATCCCTGCTGTGATAATGCAGTCAACTGAGACTCATTTCTGTGTTTTTTTTCATTTCATTCTTTTTTAGTATTTCATTTCCTCAAACATATACAATAAGAGATAGGCTTTTTGCTTAACAGTTACTCTAGAATAGACAAATGCAGCGCATGGTATATGGGAGTATGGGACAATTATTTTTCTACTGTAGGCTTGCTGTTTGGCTTCATGAATCCGTTCAACCTATCATTAGTGGTAATTTTTCTCTGTTTCTGGAAATAGTGGATGTATTTCCCTAATGTGATCACCTAGTATTACTTTATGTTATCTTATGAGTCTTCCAAGGGATATATGGCAAAGAGGGAAGGAGAGGGAGTAAACTGTAGCCAACTAGTTAATATTTTAATGCAACACAATAATTGTGTTTTATTTTTCACTTAATGGTAATGATGAGACTTTCCAAGATAACAGATTACATGGGGGGAAAAAACAACTATGAGCTTCAGAATATGCTATTTCTTGTCAATAATAATGCAAATGGATGTAAATATTCTACTCTTAAGATATACTGAATTTTAAAAAAGCAATATGATTCACTGGTACAGCATTTCACATTAAAATAAAGCATAAACATAGTTCTAAGTTTTCACTCCTTTTTTTTTTTTGGAATAATCACCATCATCCAGAAATTTTAAAGTAAGGAATTATATTGTTTTCCTGGGTGTATTTCTTCCTTAAATAAAACTGAGGTTCTTTTACTAAAGAGTATGTTGAGAATACGTGTTTGAACATACAGCTATATTCCCTACCATGATCTGCTCCTTTAGTTATTCAGACATCTGTATTCATCCTTCTTCATATTAAAATATATTCAGCCAGTTCTCAAACAAGGCGACCCTGAAGTTTCATCCAGTTTCTGCAGGCAGGTCTCCTTCTCTGTGGAATGTATAGCCCTCTCCATCAGCAACTTTTCTGAGGTTCTGGGACCTATAAACAATCTGGACAGAGCTGCCTGCTATTCTCTCTGGGCCCTGGTTCTGCTCCCTAAGACTCTTTTCCTTGTCACGCTCCATATGAAATGAGTACAGAACGTATACCCTCCTGGAGACTCTGGACTTCCCACAATTTTCTTCTTAGGGTCCAATATAAGAGAAATATGGGTTGCTTTACAGGAAAACAATCACAAGCATTAATCCATATTCCAGTATAAAAAGTTCTATTCCCTCTATGAGAAGAATAGGTGTCAGTTATTCATAAATTAAATGTAATAAACGCTCTTTCTAAAACAATCTGTCTCAGTTGTTTGCTCACAGAGACTCCTGGGGTTGTCCGTTATTGTATATGAAATTGGCTACATGCCCAGGCCTCTTGCTGGATTTTTGTGTGTGTATAAGACTATACAAAATATACAAATGTGTGAATACTTCGTTATTTATAAGCATATATACATGTATATGGAGATTTAGATATAGATACTAAGACTGGGGCAATTTAAAATTTTTATCTTGATATTTAATTCTAATTAAAATGTCTTTTCTCGTTTGACATTTAATGAGTCCTAGCACAGAGCTAACGTATCTGTGTCATGAAAAGATACTTAGTTCTTGACCAAGAGATTAAAGGTGTTTTAATGTGCTTTTAATCACTAAAAATGAGAAGAAATTGAAAAACTTCCTTTTAGTAACTTCCATTTGCTTACTTTAAGTAAAAAGCAAGTGACATATGACATAATTCTGAATTTTTACATATTATTACATTCCAGAAGGAGAAACATTCTGAAAAGAAAGGAGCATTTTGAACTGTGAAGTTTGTCCCATCTAATTGAGAAGCTCAATGAAAGCATAAAGGCAGAAAATGGAATTATTGGTATACGTAAATAATAATTAAAGCCTTTTTTCTAATTTATAGAATAATGTGTCATACTCATAGGCCATCTTACATAAATTATGGAATAGTTTTAAACATAAAATATAATGTCTTCTATCTAAAAATTTGGGGCAAAACAGAAAAAAATTTAAGCAATTGATAGGTGGAAAAATATAATACTCTTACGTATTATTTAAAAGAACAATGAGTGGTGAGATGTGCTAAATAGGTTGGTGTGATAAAGACGGCTAATTGTTCCACTGTGGTCATTCTGCATTGCGCACGTGACCATTTCACAGCCTTCCCTAAAGCTAAGTGTGGCCATGTAACTAAACGTTGGCAAATGAAATATTGGCCAAAAGTGATAAGTACAATTCTGATTTGCACTCTTTTAAAAAAAATTTAGCTCTTTATCTTTTTCTACCACTTAGGATTTTTTTTTAATTTTTATTTTTAAATGGAAAAAGTGTATCTTTTCATTACTTTGAACCATTTCTTGTCAACTGGCATATCAGTCAGGTGATGAGCCATTCTGACAATGTAGATAAGGAAGGAAGAGCAAAGGACAGTAGGAATATTGTCCCTTTCATATTCAACTTATTTAATTTCAGTTAACATATATTTAATTAAAACAACTAAATAGTGAGTAAAATAAGTAATTTCATAAATTTACAAAATGCATTTATACTATGGTTTCCATTAAACTGAAACAGTTTAAAAACCATGGCAACATGCTTACTCAGCTTTAGGAGAGTTAGAAAAAAAAAGTGTACCTTCACCTATAATTTACTATATTTTCATTTTAGAGATAATAACAATGTTTTCTAGTATTTTTTCTGCTGATGTTTTCACATTTTTGCTATATGAAATAATATCATGCAATGGATTATAAATATGGAAACTAAGTAAAATGCGAATAAAAATATGCCTGTGGTGATGGACCAGAGAAACAAAGTAAAATATTCATGGAACAATGGAAATACTTTCAATAAGGTACTTACTCTTCATACATATTTTAAAGTTCCTGAGAAGTTTGGAAACCGTTCCATTCAGGACTTGTGTGTGTGTTTGTGTGTGTGCGCGCGCGCGCGCATATTGAACACTGATTAAGTCATCAGACAGAATGGAAAATACCCAACTGAGTTTTAATCAAGGAAACAAGAAAAGACAGAAAAAAATTGTATTTAAATAGTGGAAGTGATTCTAGACTCAAGTAATCGGGGTAGAAAAGCACTAAATTAAACACATGAGCAGAAATAAAATCTGAAGCACATTTTAAGCAGATAATTTTATTATACAAAACTCACTTACAATTTATACTTTCAAGCATTTAAAATTGCTACTGTATTTGCCTCAATAGATAACTGTTCCTTAAAAACATATTATTGGTGTTACCCTTTGGTTCACTATTTTTATTAGTCCAAAATTCTCTTTTCCTTTTCACACACTCTTGTTTGCCTTATTAGTTAAGTTTATGAATGAAAGATGGAAAACAAGAAGAAATCATTTTTATAAAAGGGAGTCCATAGAGGAAAAAGAAACAGCATTTCCCACTAAACCATTTGATCTACAAGTCCAGATACTGTAATAACCAAAGAATGATGGCTATCAGGTGCTAGTTAGACCTCTACTTCCTAGTTAGGAAGTATTTAATAGTCAAATATTCAATTGGGTAAGAGTATGTTCACGGATTGATAAACTTTGATACAATTTTTTTTCTTAATTTCTTTACTTCAGATGCTATTCAGGTTAATATGAGAAGATATTTGACAGACATTAATTTACAAATAATAGCATGCAAAATGCCAGAATATAGAGACATTGAAGTCCACGAACGGAAATAGGGTGGAAGGTATGTACTGCTTTGTGTTACATTTTTACATTTATATATGCATCACATAGTGATATTTATAAAACTAAACTATAGTTTTCAATAAAGATAGCATAAAACATTTTAAATGATAACAAAGCATTGTGTAAGTTTAATTCTCAGCATTCTTTTTTCCCTTGGATATAAATAAAATAATGGTTTTAATGAAGGGCATTTTGAAATAGATGAAATACAGCATATCTTGAATACATTAATTATATTGGGCAGATATTAAATATCTGTGCTTATTTTAGATCTGCTTGAGTATCACCTATTTTAGTACCCTCCAGAAGTTTTTAAATTTATATTTTTCTTATAAAATATATTTTCCACTTACAGAATGCAACTTTATTAATAAGCCTATCATTTCTGTATGTTAACTGAATTATTCAAATTCTCTCTTCAATTAGTTTTTGCTACTAAATCAGTTGCATTCTGAAAATAATATCAATATTGTCGCTCTTACTTTTTTCTTGAATTTGCCTGAGTATCTAATATCTTATATATTTTCAAATTTTAATGTTATGTTTTAAGAGAGTTTCCTGTGTATAATGCATAGAAAAGTTGATTTTAAGCCAATATTAAAATCTGTTGTTTAAAATGAATTTATTTTTTTGTAGATTCTTTGTTGCTCAGAGCCAGTACCTGGGCTCTGGAATCTCTGCATTGGAGATCCGTTATCCTTTCCACCCTTTCCACACTGCCATTTTCTGGGATTAGGAATATCTGGCGGGTCATCTTAAGTAAGACGGAAGAGGCTACCCTACACTAATAGGGTGAAATGCTTTCTGAAGTCTCACCTTTTCCTAGCCATAGAGAACACCTTTTCACTTAGGCTTCTTTCTGATTCTTCCTCCAACTTTGGCTCATAGAACAAAATCCTTTCTGTGTAGGCTCCTTTACAAATCATGACTTACCCCTTTACCAGTCTTTCACATACATTTTTCATGATTTGGAAGGAGAAATATGTGTAAGAGGGTGTGAATAAACTGGAAATCTCAATAGATAATAATCTGGTTAATGAAATTGCATTAAAAGATGTTTTGTTTTTTAATTAGGAAATGCATTTTATTTAACATCTATATTTGACATACACTCTTGCTCAAAGTATAACTAGAAGTTTTGGAGGAAACGTTGAATATCTGTCTAAAGATTTAGCATTTTATCATGAAAACTCATTAATTTCACAGTTTAATTTACAGCAAATAATCAATGTAACATAACTAGTCTTTGATATTTTGGAACAAGTTAAAAAATACCTGTGACTCTCATATCATAAAAAATATGATCTATTTATCATTAACTACTCTTTACTTTCTTCTGAAAGTAAATAATGTATATTTTTCTGAAGCCTAATTTCCCAATGTTATGTGTGAAATTCAGGGGAAAATAAATGCCTTACTAGTTCCATATACAATTATTGAAAATCTTAAGGATTAGCCTCTTAAAGTTAAAATGTACCTTCTGTAATGACTAAAATCTCTGTTATTTCAGTGAACTCACTGTGCGCTCATAGTAATGGTAATGAATTGCCAATATTAATACTGTCTTAACCTGAATAATTTTCCGTGAACAAACATGGAAAATATTCAGTCTTTATCCAAAGTGAATCAGATTATGGGTAATTTTTATTTTTAAGATTCTATAATGTGAAACTCTACTAGAATGAACCAAATTGCTAATGTATGTACACAAAGATTAGTAAACTTATTTACTTTTTATAAATACTTTTACTTGTTATAAATACTTTTTGAAATTTATATTTCAAATAATGCATTAAATATGGTGATTCTTAAATTCTTATGTTGAGTTCAAATTCAGTGTGAAGGGTCAACTCTGAATATCCCCACAGCGGGTTCATTCTTAATTGATAGTGTTTGAAGTAAGTCCCCACAATCAACACTGATATATAATGCCAAATATAATTTAAATATTTTTTTAAAAGGTAAAGATACTCCCACCTTCTTCTTTGTCAATATGAAGAATGATACACCAATTTAAGATAAAATATGAAGGTCTAAATTACATGGCTGATGCGAGATCACAGAATACAACAGCTAATTTTGTTTTCTTTATTTTAAAAATTAAATTTACATTTTAAATATAAATATCATAAAGTTCAGGAGTGTTCACTAAATATAGACGTTAGAATTTCAATCTCTACTGTGCTTTTAAATGGACATGTTGATAACAGGGTGGTTGAGAATTTGCAGTTGATATCAAGCTATTGGCTGTGTTCCGACTGATTTTATTCTTAGTAAAATCAATATTTCTTGCTTTTATTGGGCAGAAAAGCAGGTAATGATGAATCACATGAATGTCTTCCTGATTTATTTGTATAACCACAGTCAGTATAACTGGTCAGTTGTGCTAGCTGACCTATTTGCCATCTAAATGTTTATGCTCTCTTCTGCAAAGGATTAAACCACACAGGTGAGAAATTGTCTTTTACTCTGAAACCAAGCAGCTGTAAAATATCCAGAATCCTGAGGCTGTATCAAGGGACTGAAGTGAATGGGTTGACACTGCAGAAGTCTGTCCTGCTACTTTATTCAGGCATCTGCCAGGAGACGACTGTCTTTCAAGCATACACTCTCCAGCCAGACTCAGCAAATCTGAAGTCAGAGACCTGACAGGCCTTAATTAGATTTCCTCCGCATTGTATACTCTGAAAATGACATTTCTCGTGAAAAAGACTTCCTTCCGAGTGACTTGAATCCTGGGCTTTTTAGGAGTGGCTGCTCACAGAGGATTGGGTACAAGTCTTTGTGAAATGCCTTAGCACAAATTTCCTTTCAAAATAGATGGATGTTTAGAAAATGTTACTATTATTAAGATTTAATTACGTAGTAAAAAGTGAGAACTGTCTTTTTAATTAAATAGATTTATTAGGTACCCACCGTATGTAGATAATTGTAACAGTCATTGTGAGAGATACAAAGAAGAAAATAAAACAAGAAATAAGAGGGAAAGAAAGACTACTTCTCTTGTGAACACACACTTGTGTTTAAATCATGATTCATTTATTCCTTGTGTAGATTTAGGCAAGTGGTTTAATGTTTTTTGGCTATTAATTTACTCATTTCCAAATGCGAGTAGTAACATGTGAACTCCTTACTGTGAGAAACAGGCACATGTAAATTTGCAGTAGAGATCTGGCCACAGAACTCGGAAGAAGCCTGTGGAGCGTAGAACTCTGTCAGTGGCAGTTCACTTCTTGATGGGTTGACCAGCGACCTTGTTGAGAGTGACAGGGCAAGATACGCAGGCTGACCACAGGGGCTTTTGTGGATGCCACTTAGCTCCCAACACTAGTCGGGGACAGAGGTTTGAATAAGAAAACACACAGACAACACACTATTGCAGCAGTTACAAAAGTGAGAGGTACTGAACTGTGACTCAGAGTTCCTGATATCTGTAAACCAGTGAGCAGGGAAACTGAAGTCAATTTCTGAGCATTCAATCGTGGTTCTTTCAGGTCTGGAGGGAGAATACCTACTAGCCTGGAACACTACCGTCATTTCTCCTATTCATAGACCTACACGCAGCAAGGTCCAGGGAGAACTCACTGTAGTCAAACCTAAGCAATAATGAGAAATGAAGCAACAGAGGATCTAAACATAAGTAAGAGAAACAGATGTCATATTTTAAAAGATTTATTAAAGGATGCCAGGTAAACTTAAACAGGGAATGGTATACCATTGTCCTTGAGCAAGAAATTTCAGTGTTGTAGAGATTCAAGTTCTCCCAAGTTACCGGTTTCTTAAGGGCCCATTGAATGGGTACAGCAATCTAACAATTTTTGGACATAAAACCTCAAAGATAAAAGTGTTCATATAGCTCATTTTGCAATAGCACTAAAAAAAAAAAGAATTATCAAAAGAGAAGAAAACAAAAACAAAGCAAGCAAAAAAGGCCTATCACACAAGCTTGTCAGTATAGCATAGGGGCTAATCTATACCTTTAGCTCAATAAGAGTAAAAAATTATGTAGCGTTTTCTGAACTTCAGAAGGAGATTTTAATTTTCCTGTGTAAAAAAATACATCTGCAACAACAGCAAAAAATGTACTAAAATTAGAAAGAGACCTGCTATCAATATACATTAAAACTTGCCTATACAGTTTAATTAAAATAATACAATATAGTTAAATAAGTGAACAGTCCAGCATAAAAGAGTCCACAAATATACTGAAATTCATATATAATAAAGATCTTACTGCTTATCAGAGGGAAAGATGGATTGTTTTATAAACATTTTTTATAGAACTAGTCTTCCTCAGATGAATGCAAATTTAAGTCATGAGATAAAAGATGGATAAATTTACCTGCATATAAATAACAGATTGTTATATGGTTAAAAAAAATACCATGAATGATGTATAAAAACTCCAAGGAAACTAGAAGACTTGCAACACATATGACAAAAGAATAAATTTTAATCTTGTAATAGGTCCTAAAAATCATTAAGGAAAATAAACCAGGGGAAAATAGCCAAACCTCCTCACAGGAAGACAGCATCCACTTACTTACTAAAGCTTTTAGTATTAAAGGGACATAAGGCTACCAAAGAAAAATTGCAGTTTGCGCAAACCCAGATTCAGTATTTAAGGCGTTTGATATCAGAACAAGGACCAGACCTAGAGTCAAACAGACTTCATAGTGTCTTAAACCCCAAACCCCAAACTAAGCGCCAACTGCAAGGTTTCCTTGGGCTAGTTGGTTGTTGCTGAAACTGGATTCCAAATTTCTCTCTTACGGCCAAACCTCTGTATGTTTTACTAAATGATAACACCCTCAACCCAATTTTATGGAAAGAACTGGATGACATAGCCTTAAAGCTTTAAAGGAGAGTTTAATGCCTGCCCTTGGGCATTCAATTATCCAATTCTCTTCTTCCTTTGTTATATGAAAAGGAAGGGAATGCCCTTGGGGTACTCACCACCAAGCACAAGGACCACCGTTGACCCACAGGGTACTACAGTCATCAACTGGACCTTGTGGCTTGAGGAAACCCCCCTTGTGTTAGAGCCATTATTGCCACTGCCCTCTTGGTGAAGGGCACTGAAAAAATTGTTGTGTGTTCCCACTTAACCATTTTTGTACCTTATGTAACAGAAGCTCTCCTGCATTCCCATCACCCTCAACATTTCACAGTCAACCACCTCACCTCCTGTGAAGTCTTTTTGTTAACTGCTCCTCTTCTTTCCCGGCAGGGACTCTATCAAGGAAAAGCCATGGATTCATTGTTTACTATAGTCCCCCCAACTTCTTTGTTCCCTCTGTCAAGGAGTTCTCCTTCCCTGGCTGTGTGGGGCCTTATGTTTCAACTCTCCCCTGTTTCAAAACAGACCGAGTTCTCCACATTTGTAAGAGTGCATAAAGTTAGACTGGATCAACCCACATAATGCAGGATAATCTCTCTGCCTCAAGGTTCATAATCTTAATCACATTTTTTAATTCTATTATTCTGTATAATGCAACATAGTCACAGATTCCACGGACATCTTTGGTAGGCCATTATTTTGATTACTACAAACATATTCAAGAAAATAAATTGAAAAAAATGTTCGAAAGTAGAATTTAAAGAGGTAATATATTACATAGTAATGTACACAGGCCTGCATATATATGTGTGTGTGTATGTGAGTAACTATGTTAATTACTTCTTTTATTTCTGGCTTCTACCAGATATTTCTGTATGTATTTTCCAGCGAACCAACATTAAGGATCAATCCATGGTTTCATGGAAAATTTTAAAGTATTCTAGCTGAAAATATTCATGTTTTTAAAAATTCCTGTTTATATCACTTCATATCTGTTCCTCTATTTTATTTTCTTCAAACTATATTACTCTTTATTGTTTTTTCAGACATTTAATCTTCCATCATGCTCTCCCTTCCTCTAATAGATTCTTCCTAATCCTTACCTATTTTTTCCTGGTATCTGACTTTGAGTCCTCACTGAAATTTTTTTCTTGTTCCTTTTCGCTTTCTGGTGCTGTTGAAAGTATGCATAACTATGCATAGCTCCCCAGGCTTATTCAGAAACATTAATTCTGTATTTTTTAAATTATAGTATTACAAACATTATCCAAATCACTCAAAGACATAATTTTTTGTATAAAATATTTTCTTATTGTTAATATTTCTTACCATGTTTCTTCCCATGTTTAAATGAGCATGTTTATATGTTCATTGTTAATAACCACTCTTGACTGGTGAGTTTGGAAAGGAAAAACCAAGCATTCATGGCCTGGCCCTTGTTTTCCTGGCTCACTCTGGCTCAGGAACGAGTCTGCCTACAGAGACATCCCCTTTGCTGTTGTCCTGCCATAAGCTTAGCCCTTGTCTCTGCAGCCAGGCCTGAGGCTTTCCCGCCGGCTCTGTGAGTCAGCAGGAGTCTCAGTCTAACTCTGAAATTTCCCCATTGGGAAGCCACTTTTGTCCCTAATTCTTTCTCTATTATCTCTAATTACATTGATACCTGACCTCCCATTAACCATACTTTTTGTTTATTTTCCAATTATTTCTGAACGTGGGAGGGAAAAATTGTACTATTTATTGGATCCCTACAAACACCTAAATGAACAAAAAATCAACGTGGAGGTGAGGCAGAATCTGTATTCTTTAGCACTTTTTATGTGGTCAGGTGTTGAAATAGCTATTGAATGTAAATTAGAAGTTTGAATCCAAAAAAATGACACTAGGGGTTAATTATTATCTTATTTTAAGGACGAGGACACAGATAATTTAAGTAATTTTCCAACAGTCAGTCAGACGTAGGAAGAACCAGAACTCAAAGAGGAGGTCATCTCTTGTTTAGCACCAAAGATTACACTATTTTTACTGCATCTTCTCCAAGAATTTATATATTAAATTTCAATTTTGAATGTTTTACATTGAGTTTGTATTCTATTAGTCAAAAAGACTCACTGTATCTATTATTGTATCTCAATTATAATCATATAGCAGTTTATCATTAATTAACTCTAACTCATAGACATTACCTAGCAATTTCATTTAGACTTGCGTATTAATCAAAGTTATTTTAGTTGTAAACAGCAAAACTATAGTTTTGGACACTTTAGGTATAAAAGGGTAACTTTTGGAGTAAAAATGGGATCATTTTCAGAATTAAAGGAACTGTTGAAAGCTGAACCTTCAGAAAGGCAAGTACCAAGGAAGATGGAACCTGAGCAACAAGAATGCTCATGGATCTCCTCTCAAGAGGGCTGTCAATAACAAGATTTACAGTCAAGTCCTCCCGGATTATGCTTCTCTTTTTCATATTTTAAAATTCTGGGACAGAGCATCGGGTTGACCAACTTGAATTATACATTAATTTCCCCCTGGACCTACCAACCACAGACATGGGAAAGTGAAATCTTGTGATCATGTGTGTAAACTTGCCCAGTGGAATCCACTCATATGCACTGAGAGACATATCCAGGTAAGGAACACTGGACTACAAGTCAAATAATCACTTCAGATATTGCCTGCTATAACCTGCATTGAATAAAATACCTGCATGAGTTATCAGCCAATTATTATTTCAGACAGACATATGTAGCTTTTAAAACTTCATTCTTCACTTAAATATTCATTGATATGAGAAAACAGTGCTGTTTTGAAAATAAATTTAACCTACAATAGAAAGGACGCAGTGTTACAAATTTGGAAATGCGGAGTAAATTTCCTAGATTCATGGAACAAAGTCAGATTGTCTATGTCTTTATAGAGGTATCCTTTCTACATTTTATTTTCCTGTTAAATATTTATTGCAGCTTCAATGTAACAAAATAATAATGGCACTATAACTTACGAAAAACTCATTATCTAAGACAGTACACATGAAAAACCAAAGAAATCTGACCACCTACTTTATATTTTCTCTATTTTATTGTCTAAAGGCATGGTTTATATTATCTGATAAGAAATATGCCTTAAGGTACTCTATAAACTGAA